ATTAAAGCGCGAGGAACGAACTGATCTTGCGATGTTTTCGTCTGTTATACCTCCGATAACAGCATCTACTAAATAAACTTCAGGGATTTTAATTTTTAAAGCTCTTAGCTTGTCCAACTTGTTAAAACAATATTCGCTAAAATTTTGATTACTTTGCGTTTCGTATGTGGCAGCATCTCTTAGCAATTTGGAAAATGGTAAAGGTTTAGTAAATTGCTTTACCAACAACTTCTTCATTTTCTTCCACTTCACCGCTAACTGCTCACCCAACACGGCGCACCCAAATTTCGATTGATTGGTCTGCCTTTTGCGGGTCAAACACGGGGATCATCTTTTCTTCTCCGTAGTTACTCGTACCGAAGAAATGTACATTACCCCTAATTGCCCTCGCTTTTTCTGTCTCCTCGATGTCTCCTGCTCGTCATCGCTAGAACTGCTCGATGTATTCGATAAGAGACTTCTCTTGCGTCGAGCCTTTGTTTTCACTTTCTTCTGTTTCTTTTGTGGTGTAGATGGTCTAACATCGGAAGAATCGCTTGAAGATTCAGAGACAGGAACACCCATTGATGGGGACACTGGCGGAGTGGTTCCGTCGGGTTTCGACATAATAATTCAATACTTCGCAACACTTAAAACTCTTGTAGGGTTAACGTGTAGATATATTCCACTTCTGATTTGTAAGAAATAAAGTCTTTTTGGTTTAAAACAATTATATTAAAATCAAACAGTTCAACAATAACAACTTATGTCTTAATTTATCGAGTGCTTCTTAAAGAGTGCCGCTTATATTTTTAAGCAACTGTGTGCTCCTCTAAAATGCTGACGACCACCATAAAGCCTCCACGTGTCGACCTTGTGGTCCCTCGTCGCACACAAAGAATGTTTAGCCGCCAGAAAATGGGATATTATGTTTATGATTGTTAATCATATAATAATCAATAAATCAGCTACGGAATATTTCTTACACCCACTCGTTAAAGATTATTTTTATAGTTTGCATCCTTTTTCCTTTTTCTATGGTTTGCATACATACTGCATAGAGTATTTATAAGTGTAGGTAGATAAGTTTTGCATTGGGTAGGTACTGATTACAAATTAATGTAAATATAAATTAATTAAAAATTACCTGGTGGCGGTTTGGATTTTGTAGAACAAAACGCTTAGATGATTTTAAAAGTTTAGCTTAACTTTAAAAGTTATTTCCATCCAAAGTTTGAGTAGTCTGTATAAACTAACTTTATTATTTGCCAATGATTTATATTTATTTCAATGTAGTTTTTAAAAATGTAATTAATGATGGTAATGATCGATTTTAAGTTGTGACCAAATCTATCATATATTACGGTCAGTTGATTAAACAGTTTAAAAACCCATATTAATTAAAATTATTATTAAACCTATATTAATTTACAATCATGTAAATAATTATATTAGTACAGCGGTAAACTTTATATTGGTAGCGAAAGCGTTTCCGGCAATTAAATTATAAAGCAACATTATTCTAATAAATGTTTTTCATTTTATAAAATAGTTTGGTCTCGTTTTATATTTTCTAAAGCCTGTTAAAAACATACAAAACAGGAGCATTATAAAACAGTTTATTTCACTTTTTTATAAAATTAAAAGGCAACATGAAATCACAACAATAAAATTAAAAAGTATTTTAAATATATTTTGTAAGCTGCAGAAAATAATTTTGTATTAGACGATATAAAAATATAATTAATGTTGCCAAAGAAGTACAAGAAGTACGAAGCAGTTTATAAACGAGTTGCATGCTATACCTACCTTATCTACGACGAACACAAAACAAATTTTATACCTCACTGATGACTAAAACGCCATAAAGTCATAGCTTGTCTATAGACATATACATATGTACATTAGGGTGATTCAAAAAAAGCCTTTTTTTAAAAATGAACCCGCACTGGCCTAAATTATAAAGATTACATTAAAACTAAAAGATTGATACCAAAAAATCCAAATTCGATGAATATTTAGAGGTCGCTCAAATCGATTTTCGTATTTTTGCACATTTGAGCCGCGAAATTATTACTGCGCAAAATAGTAAATAACTCCGTTAGTTTTTAATCGATATTATTAAAAATTTAAGGGTTACCTAGTTTTTTAATAACCTCTGAGACAGTGTATTGAACTTTTTTTTTCATGAAAAAAAATAATTTGTTAATAAAAACGTATCATCTTATAAAATAAGCAACAATTGGAATCGCACTATGATGGTACCATAAAAAAAATCAAGAAAATAACACTTAAATTATTTAGTATACATTAAACCTGCCGAAAGAAATATTTTATTTGATTTATATAAAATATAACCTAAAAATAATTAAGTAATTTAGATTTTACCCATTTTCAAACGATTTTATAAATAATTTATATCCGTTTTATTAATTATGACGTATTTTTATAATATTTCTTTATTTTTGATACCATATTTAATTAATTAAACTAGGTAGTTATTAAATTAGGTCCTTACATAGGAGTAGATAAAATAAAATATTTGTTTCACTTTTTTATAAAATTAAAAGGCAACATGAAATCAGAACAATAAAATTAGAAAGTATATTTATTTAAAGTATATAAATATTTAATTAATGTTGCCAAAGTACGAAGCCATTTTAGCAATTTTAATATGTCATTTAAGGACATAGTTTGTGTTGAAAAAAAGTTTTTACTGCGAATTAATTATCGTAAAAAATATTGCAGATTTTAAACAAAACTAATTAACAATATTTCAGCATATCCATAACATTCCAAAATGGGCTTTATCGATTTAACAATTTTTTATGAAAAACTTGCTCGAATAGGTTCTAGGTATCATTATTTTTTAATTTGTATTCATTACACACTGTAAACATTAATATTAGAGACCTGATTCTAGGCAAAATACTTTTTATCAATTTTGATAGGCCTTTAAAAAATATTTGTGCAAAATTTGTTTTGGACATTTTTAATGCAATTTAACCCAATTTTTTATGACCGTTTTTTCGAAATATTTTGTTTTAATGCACTTAACAAAACAGTATGCTAAATCGAAACCTACTTTAGTGAGCAGAGTCTGCACTGCAGACACACCGAAGCGCTGACCATCGCTCCGATCATATCCACTCATGTATCTTGATATCCACTCATCAACATAAATCACATCAGATCAAATTGAACACCACACCTTTGCAAAGCTTTGCCCGAAGTTCGGTATCCGAACTATGCGCTCCGATGCATCGCGATGTGACTACCCAGATTTAAAAGTGTATGTTTTTTTGCGGAGCTATTTTGGCGATGTTTTTTTCTGCTCACAAATTTATTGGATTAACGACGTAATTTAACAAAAGAAAATGCCAAAAAAAGATTGTTTGCTACTTTAATGTCAAACAAACCAACAAAAGCATCAAAAATGCATTTACATTTTGTTAAATTAGTTTTTTTATAAATTTAAATTATTTATGTTGTGTAAACACTATTTTTTTATAAATAGCAAGAATTTTAATATACCTAATTATGCTAGTGCGCAGTCCTTGAAAAATAATTAAAACATAATTTAATTTAAAACTGTTAATATTATTTATCTACTTTTACATTGACGAGTTGTGACTTTGTGGCATTTTAGTCACGGGCTGAAGTTAACAACAATGGCTTTTGGGCATTTTAGTCACGGGCTGAAGTTAACCTTACTATAAATTGCAAAAAAGTAAGGTTAAATTCGTCAATTGTCAAATTTTATGAAATAAAATTGTCTTTAAATTCTTAATTCTGTTCGTCGTAGATAAAGTTTAGTATGCAACTCGTTTTATAAACTTCTCCAGACACTTGTTTTATTACACTAGCTTGCAAGCTTCGCTCGTGTTAATAAAACTCTTAACTAAAATGGCGTTTATAAAACTTGACACATAATGTACAGTTGTATTCATTAAAAAAGCGTACAAGAATTAGAATGAGAGAAAACTGTCAACATTATTGCGTAAAACCGGCTTTCCACTGACTTAAGTCACTATAACTGACAGTAGAAAATAAAAATGCCTCGTCAGTTAAAAAGGCTCAAATAGTATCAAGAATCGAAGAAGAATGGTCAATTCGTACCGTGGTATAATAGAAATAAAAAATCTATATTAAAAATTAATAATTTTTGTAATATTATTTAATTAACCTACGACGTCAATGCTCTTTATAACCTATAGTAATTATTTTAATGACTTATGACAGTGATAAGCCGGTTTTAAGCAATAATATTATTTTGACAGTTTTCTCTCATTCTAATTCTTGTACGCTTTTTTATTGAATACAACTGTACTATTATCTACTGCTATTGCATAATATTGGGTTTTTTCGTGAATAATGATTAACATTATAAAATCTCTGCCTAACAACGGGAATAATGAACTCATTTTTAAAGGCATTCACTGAATATATTGAACCACATATCCCCATAACCCACCGGGTGGGTCCCACCCCCAATAACCCTATAATCTGAACTTTAACATAACTTAATCCATTGCAATCTTTTATGGCGCAGTAATAAAACTCAATTAGTTAAACCCCAAGATTGTGATGTTGAGGTTCAGATTATAAGGTTACTCGGGGATGGGTTATGGGGTTATGGGGTTAACTATATCAGATTATAAGGTTACTGTGGATTAACAGCTTCGGTTACAAGATTATTGGGTTTGGACAGATTGCGATAATAGGTCGAGTTCAATTGCTTGAGTTATGTGGTTATTGGGATTCGGATTATGGGGTTATTGGGGTAGGGTTCTTTGGTTATGGATTTATTGGCTTTAATATAAAAGGTTATAAAGTTATTAGGAACGAACAGCTTCGGTTATTAAGTTTTTGGTTTTAAAAAGTGACTCATTTTTTGTTATTACAATTAGTCGAATATGACTTATAATTAGTCATTTTTGACTAATTTATTTTTATATCATCCATAATAATTATTATTCTTATAAAATAAAAATTAAACTGTTTACTATTTATTATTTTAGATTAATACCCCTCCAGGCAGAGTCTCTAACAATGGGTATAGCCACACAGTAGGTAGCGGTAACAAATTAATTAGGACTGGCTCCTTGAATCAAGTTAATAGGGGATATTCATCTGAAGAAGAACCAACTCCCATTGTTCAAGAGACCAGAGTCAATGAAGACACTTACAAATTTTCCAGAAAAACTGTCAGGAGTAATAATATGGATAAGAGTATTGTGGCCAAGAAAAAGGTATGTAACAACCCATTTTATTCCTAAAGCGAAAAAATAAAACCAATTTAAACTGGCATAGATATCAACAGTCTAAATTAGGTTAAAAGTTAGAAACTTAACAGGTGAAAAATGCAAATTGCGTAAGCATTATTTAACATTAAAATTTGTATACCCATTGTCGTATAAATGCTAACCATTTTTTTATGTACACCTTGAACTGGCAGAAAATTAAGTCAAACTAACTTACAAAATGGGTAGTTTTATTAAGAGCTTCAAATTAGAAAAAACATTAAAATTTTATATTTTTTAGTAGTTATTAAATGTTCTACAAGTAAATATTGACATTTTTGCCAAACGTAAGTTTTTAATGTGATTAAAACCATAAATAATTCTGCATAACATTGTGTTTAAGATTTTAAAAAAGTATACGCTAAAAAGTATTTCCCAATAAACAGTGGAAATCCGAATTAGGAAATAAATTGCATACAGTTCCTGTAAATATCAATTGTACCTATAAGATACAATAAAACACATTGGATTAATGATTTACTTAAAAAATTTAAAAATTTAAATTTAGAAAAAATCCTAAAACAAATAAGTCCTCTAAATGCAATCAGCATTATAAATTATATAAAGTGTTGATCGAGAAAGTCTTCACTTAACGGTAAAAGACCAAACACAAACCAAAATACATACACAAACGTAACTATATAAGAATAATAAATTGAAATAAAGTATTTTTTCTACTCCCACCTTTAAAACGACCATTATCGTACATGTTTCCATGACACTAAGTGACCTTTTAAATACACATTGACAAGTTGTGGCTTTGCGGCGTTTTAGTCACGGGCTGAAGTTAGCAACAGGTTTGTAGCAGGGACCCGGACCGAAATGAAATATCGGTTCCGGTACGGTTTTGGTTCACCCTATTTTCTTTTTAATGGTTCCGATTCCGGTTTCGGTTTCGTGGAGTTATAACGGTTCGGTTCTTTTCGGTTTTAAGCGGTTCCAGTGAGGTTATTTGTTTTACGTAATTTTAATCTATAACCTAATATGTTATATAATGTTATTAGAATGAAAGCAAATAAAGGTTTCGGTTCCGGTCCAACAGATTTTATCAAAAGCGAAAACGGTTCCGGTTCGGGTTTCGGTTCGGAAAAAAAAGAAGTTAGTTTTAAATTAGTTGACAGTTGACAAATGTCATACAATTGTTAAAATAAAGTGCCTTTCTTGTAAAATAATACTAAATGTGAAATTTATTTTATTATCTCAATACAAAAAAACAAAAGTATTAAACAGTTTCTCAACGCCAATATTTGAAAATTTTATATGAACATTGTACTGACCTTTTAATTTCGCCGGCAGTAAACTATAACTTAAATTCGGGCACGGACTCCACTGTAAAGTGCTCATAAAACATTTTCTTTAGTTTCACTGTAAAAAACTGTCTATTTTTAAGAAATACATTTCGATTTATAACCTTTATAATCTGTTTATAAAATACAAAAATTTGACATTTGACGGTGACACACAGATTCCCCTATTGTTTCATAGATGGCGCTCTAAAAAAATATTTGATTTAAATCATTTTAAGATAATAATAAGTATTTGTCGTAAAAAAAGTATAGTATGCACCTCGTTCATAAACTTTTCTATACACTCGTTAATTTAAGAACTCGCTCGCAAGCTCGCTCGTGCCTAAATTAAATTCGTGTATAACATGGCGTTTATCAAACTTGAAACATAATATACTATAAACCAATCAAAGTTTTTTAGTTTTTACTTGCAACGCAAAACACAAATAACGTGGTCGGTAAAGCTGTGCAATTGCAACTTTGCAAATAAAATTTGTCAAGTAAGACTTCTGCCTTTCTCTCTTTTGTGAAAAACTACTTATTTATTTAGAAATGATGTACAGTTCGTATGCTTTATATGCATTGCTGACATACCTTATATTTTAATAAAACTATCGAGCGCCACCAGATGGCGCGCGGTTTGAAAACCCGATGTTTCTTTAGCGTATAAGTTTATATATAATATATTACTGCGAGGAAAAGAACTTTTTTATTTTAAAATCGTTAGGTATTTCTTTGTAACCTATAATAAGAAAGGTTTTTCGCCTTTTTGAGGAGTCTCGGAAAGACGCAAAATTACCTAAATAGAATATAATACATCATTTTTAATTAAAAAATATATATAAAACTGTTGTAACTCCTGCATATAAACAAGAAATATTTATTTTATTTTTTAATATTTTTTAGTTTGAAAGTAGTAGTAGAAAGATCAGACTAATAAATCCACCTAAATCCTGGTGAAGAAAGTGTTACCCACTTCGTTCACTACATTTTAAGTTAAATCGATTTGGTACTCTTTTTTATGTCTGATAAATTTGTTATATAAAAAATCACGTCTAAGACTAAATCAAACCGACCAATCCATTAGTTCCAACAAATTGCAAATTTTCATTGTATACTGGCGAAACTTTAATATATACACTGAAAGAAATTTGTTGCTAAAAGTAAACACAAATTTATACTAAAAATTTTATACTAGTGCTTTACACATTTATACTACTGTTTATTATGAATGTATGTTAAATTTTGTAATACATTTATTGTAAAGAAGATATGTTAGATCTAAATAAAAATAAACTTACCCTTACTATAAAATGTAAACTATAAGTGAATTACAGCAAAAAAATATTGCTAGAAACACATTTATATTGCTAGGGCAGCAATAGGCTGCTAACCAAACGAATATATTTGTTTTAGCAATGTATGTGGTAGTCCAAATATGAAACATAAAATATATTTGCCCTAATTATTTTTTTATTTAACTTTAGTATATATTTCTTTCAGTGTACGCAATTATATAAACGCAATTTAAGCAGGACATAGCTCTATCCTGCTTTAATTTTGGAATTTCGTCTGCAGAGGTGAATATAAAATTATTATATTTTATCTGTAGGAGGTCTCAACACTCGATATTTAAGTGATTAATTATGTTCTAGGCACATAATAGTAAATTATTTCATTAGGATAAGTGTGTCTTTTTGTGCTGAGCTCAAAAGATTGCAGCCCAAGCGCTTTGCGCCAAAGCAAAGGAATTGAGCGAAGCACAAAAAGACATTGTGATCCGAATAACACAATAATCTATCTTAGTATTACAATATGTCAATGGCAAACATATTTTTACGAAGGCATAGGCGGAGATAATATGAATAAAATAAGGTTAAAAAAGATATTTTTATTGATTTATTCTACCCTTATGTATCTCATTATAGTATTATTACATTAATAAATAAATGCTGCGTTGAGACTAATAGTATTGATATTATATTATGTTAGAAGATAGTTAGGCTAATAATTAGTTTGTTTCCTTCTTGGAAGTGGCGTCAGGGGCAGCACTTAAATGAGTAAAAACGTACTTAGTTTGAAATTTCAGCCCGATCGGGCCAAAATTGACTAAAAAGCGGACAGCCTATTACATTTCATCTGCACAGATGATCTACTGTAAAGCGCTTAATCTTTAAAGTAGGTACACACCTAGATCCTAGACAATAAATGATGAAATAAACCACATCAAAATTTCATTTATAACGCAACATGCCCTCCTATAAGAGAAATGACAACCGTTATTTAATCCGCAAAGCTATTTATAAACAACTGCTTTACGTGAACTAATAAATAATGCGATGACTACTATTCTATCTTCAAGGTTGATTTATAATTTTATCCTAGGTTTGTTGCAAGAAGAGACGTTTTTGAGGTATGTTCTCGTGACACGCAAACTCTTTTTATAAACGATTTGGTAAGAAATAATGGATTTTACATATTTCGTCTGTGTTTATGGGATTAAGTAATTAAAAGAGGATAAAACATTATTTTCTGGATAATTTTTTTATCAAGCATAATATTTTACATAATAATAGTATCACATTTTAATAAATTTTGATACCTACAATAAGTTTTCTTTATACAATAATATTAAAATACATAGAAACTATTATGTCAACAAAAACTTGTTGTGCCATGTTCTACATTCTTTCACGTAAAAATTTATTAAACTTTATTATGTTACATATGTAAATACTTTGGTCTTCTATTTTTTTTTAATACTTAACACCGTTTAAAATTTATTCAAAAATAGTTAAAATGGTTAGAAAAATACTTTATTACTTGAATTTGTTTGAATTTAAAAATCTTGTGCTCTTTATTACAAGAGAAACTTTATAATGAAGAACACTTATTTCTCGACGACAGAAAACCCTTATACCCCCAGGGTGTCGGGTTTTACTACGTAGGTATGTTCTTACTAAGAACTTCTTAGCCATTGTCCGTATTTCATCTAATGTATTTTCCTTTATTTTGCGCCAATTTCCTTGATTTTATTAATCCATGTTCTTTTGGTCTTCCTTTTTTTCTTTTGCCAATCTTACCAGCTCCCACCACTTTTTTACTAATGAATTTTCTCCCATCCTTACTATATGTCCGTACCATACCAACTTTTGCTGCACAACTTTTTCCATAAGTTTTTCTTCCTTTAATGATTGTCTCATATTTAGGTTTGTTATCCTGTCTCATTTTGTTTTCTCTATATTTTCCTTAAATATTTAATTTATAGTGCTCTTATTTACAGGTATTGCTATTGATTTTAAAGTTGCCTATTTCTTTATTTCTAATATTGTTCTATCTACGGTATAGTTTTTTGCCCTATTAGCTATGTCTCCATCCATTTTTCTACTTTATTATTTTGGTTTATATCCATGACTCGCATCCAAATGTTATTACAGGTATTGCTATTATACACTGCTCTCTAAAAATGATTTAGTCAAAATGACTAATTTAATAGTTATTAGTGGCTGCTTTTTCACTTGTAGCATGGTTAACCATGGAATACCATGGTATCCCAAAATTAAATAGCCAATTCTTATGTAAAATTGTCCCCTGAATCTGAAAATACCGTCAAAAATTATGAAAGTGGATCAGTTTTTGAGATATAGTCAATTCCATATTAAA